CCCCAGCCCCTCACTGGGGGATTCTAGGCAGGGGCTCTACCACTGAGTAGAAAGACATATCCCCATCCCTTCTTTCATCTACCTTAGAGAAGTTTCCTCTGTATCTTACACTAGTGAATTTCACACCTTATTCTCCAAAACCAAACAGAACAGTAATGTTTCTATAATTTTTTTGCTTTTAATGTCAGTGGTCAGAGAGTAAGCATTTTGAGTTTGTGGTTTATACAGTCTCCTTGCTAGTTATACTCTGCTGCTATATAGAAATAAATCAGTTCCCTAAAGTACAGTACCCATTGGGAGAGCTAAATGATAATGAACCAATACTTAGAAAACCAGGTGTTGCAGTAATTATTTAAATCAGCCGCTGGTCAGCCGACTGTCTAAGCTGCGGCAGCTCTGCCTAGCTCAGCCGCCATGTTTCTCGGCCGGGGCCCACGTGCACGCTGCAGCTAGAAACGGCCAGCCAGAAACACCAGCCCTGCCACCCACGAGACGCCAGCGTGGGAGATGGCTCTGCCAATCTTCCACGCTGTCTCTCCGCAAGGCAAGGCATTGCCCAGACCATCCCACCATCCACATGGGCCCAGTAGGAAGATGAGATTCTAATGCTTAAATTATCCAAAAGCTTATGTATTTGGTAATGCTCAGTAACAAGCTGCCCATACAAGCAGAAGTGTAACCCAATACCCAACCTAGATATACCAACTACCTCTGACTGCTACAGACACGTGAACATCCGCCTCCATGTTCCCCTCTGTCTCCTTCCTCTCCTAGCTCTTCTTCTTCTCCTCCTGTCCTCCTTCTCCTCTTCCTCTCCTTACTCCTCCCACCATTAGCTCCTCCTACAACCAGGCATTGGGCCAGATTTACCTGACAGCTAAACTTTGCTAATGAGGCAGACAGTGACGTGCAGACCTCAGTGGGCAGCAGTAGGTACACAGCGTGTTTGTGGAGGTTAGACTCCTTGGAGGAGAAGACAACTCCCTGGAGTCATTTTTCTCCTTCTCTGTGAGCCCCAAAGTTGTCAGGCTTAATGACAAGTGCCTTTCTCCCCTGATCCATCTCACCAGCCCCAGTGACCAAGTAAGTGGCCAGGGGATTTTCCAGGAAGCTGCCACGTTACCTTAGCCTGGAGCAGGCAACATGGCAGAAACAAGCAAGCACTGCTTCAGCAGGAGGGAAGGCAAGAGCCAGAGCCTGTTCCTCTGGCCTCACCATGTCTGTGGCACACGCAGGCTCCTGCTCCTCTGTCACACAGACACATGACGGTAACAAATGGTCAAAATCTCGGGGCTGCATAGACGGCCCAGTGATTCAGAATGCTGGCTCCGCCCTCCTCTTCCAGCCTCTGCTGGCCCTGGGCACACATGGTGCACACAAATGAATGCAGGCAAAACATCCATTCACATAAAATAATAAATAAAAATAGTTTATATTATCTCTTGCATACGAGTGTTTTGTCTTCATGTATGTACAGCACACGTGTGCCTCTTACCTGTAGAGAGGTCAGAAGAGGATGTTGGATCCTCTGGTGCTAGAGTTCCAGGTGTTTGTGAGGCACCATATGTGTGCTGGGAATTGAACCCTGGTCCTCTGCAACAGCAACAAGTGATCTGGACAGTTGAGCCATCTCTCCAGCAGCCCCTGAGTAACTTTTTTTAAAGGCTGGTAACATGGCTCAGTGGTAGAGCACTTGCCTAGCGTGTGTGAGGGTCTGGGTTCAGTCTATAATAAGTAAGGAAACAAACTGAAGAGAATCTATATACTTCTTGTTTGATGTTCCTCTGTAAGAGATAAAAGCAGACCCAGTATCTGAAGCCCAGCAGTGCTTTGGACCCTGGTTAGGATGCTTTGGATGCAGATGGTCTAAGGATAACTCCCCTGTGCTTAGAGTCCATGGGCACTGGAGAAAAGCTACCAATGCCCAGCTAAGCGGGAATGTGTGTGCTGTTCTAGGAAAGCACAGACTTCAAGATTGTGACTGTGGACCTTACGGAGGAGGGACAGAGCACGTGGAGCAATGCCCAGAGAACCCCAGAGAGAACTGTGCTCCTCGAAGGCCACAGGGACCTGTGGGGTGAGTACTGAGCCGCTCTAAACAAAGGAATATCTGCCTGTGCTTTCCGTCCCTGTTAAGTGGTGGGGCTCAGCAGCCAGATTCACTTTTTTACGGTTGTTTCTTTTGTGTGCTCAGGAACACAGCATAGCACGCAGATAAAGATCAAAGGTCAACCTGGAGCACTGGCTCCCTGGCCATGCACCTCAGGAATCTTTCTCCATGTTCTTGGAGATGCTGCCCAGAGAATTTATTCTGGTATTCTCGGACCAGACCTGGAGCTGGCACTCCTGTATGTCAGTCCTTTCTGCAGCCCTTGGAAAGGTTCGGAGGTGTTCTGTAGCTCACAGTGCCTCCCAGATACTCTCGCTGCACTCCTGAGAGTGTTTCCTTGAGTGTTGAGGGGATTGCTGGTGATGCTGGAAAGTCTGGGGGACCCCCAGGGCCTAAGGAACAGGGGGAAACTTTGCAGCCTGACTGCATTGGAAGGCCTGGGGACATAGTGATGGGGCAAGCACAATACGGTACTTGGAGGTCTGGGAGCACTGGCAGACCAGGCATTCCTATGCTCTTGCAGAATGTTCTGCAGTCTTGAAGAATTTTTAACACAGGTGACCCTGCCCACCCTGGAAATGCAAATCTATATAAAATATAATTTATTGGGTTTGAGGTTGTTCAGTCTTCACAGATCCTAACAACCAAAGCCTGGGACCAAACTCAGTGTTTGTTCTTCTGTCTCCAGCATAAATATCCGAAGTCCAGTCACTCGTTCCAAACCGCACAGTTTGCATATTAAAGCAAGGTAAAGGATATACAGAATTTATCAGTGCGTTTGTCCAGTTTTCATGTGACTTTTCCAGGGAGATGTACAGAAAGTCTGTCCCCCGTGACCGTACTCAGCAGACACTGACATCCAAGTCCAACTTGGTAAACAAGTATGTTAACTACATTACTAGAGGGACAGAGGTGACCTGAAGGCAGCTAGTCTTCAAAAAGCCACACACTCAGCATGGAGGAAACTTACAGAAGCCCAGGTCCCATTAAGCCTTCTCACTCTGATCTAGCACCTCTTCAAGATACGTGAAGTTGGGGCAGGAGGACTTGGTGACTGAACTCTAGGTGAGAGTCTAGTACTTTCCCCACCTCTGTTTTGCCGAATGGAACAGCTGACGACCAGCACCACCGACCCCACTGTGGCTGTATCTTCATTGGTTCATTACCCTCGTTACAGACGTAGGTGTTCCAGAAGCCATGGCAACTCTCATGTATCAGGTTGTGTACAAACCTCTAATCTCTGTAGAAATCGCAGGAATCCTGAGTCCATAGCCCATTAGGTGTTTGGAAAACTGGGGTTAATATTGCCCCATTCACAAGTTCCTGCGTTCACAAATATACTGTGTTAATGGCTTGTTGATACACACTGTGCTAGCCAGTTTCAGGCCTCCAGAGCTTTCTAAGACATGTAGCCACGAGCTTTTCAGTGAACATGTGTCTAACACTAACACGGATCAAAGGGCCTTTATTTCTTTTGTTTTGTTCATGTTTTTAGCACCCTTTGTATTTAAAGTCTTGCTTGTTCTGAGAAAATTAAGATGCAGATAGTTTGAGTTAAAGACTCTGTTGTGCCTTTGGGCTGTGGTTCTTTGTTTCTTTGTTTTCTTTTTCTTTTTTGAGACAGGGTCTCTGTATCCCTGGCTGTCCTAGAACTCACTCTGTAGACCAGGCTGGCCTCGAATTCAGTGATCCTTCTGCCTCTGCCAGCTGGCCAGGGATGTGGCACTTCTGAACTCACTGCCCTCTCTCTTTTCATTTTTCAATCCAGGTTAGGGGTACGTAAGTCGTAAATCTTCTGTAGTTCGTAAATCTTCTGTAGTTTCTTGTAAGCTTTATCTCACTGTCTAGCTCTAATTTTCTTGGGAGCTGGGATGTATAGCATGTTCTTGTGGTTTGGATATGAAGTATATCCCACAGGCTCATGTGTTAAATGCATGTTTTCTAGCAGGTGGCACTATTTTGGAAGGTTCTAGAAACCAGAATGAAGGGTCTGGTTTGAAGAAAGGGGCCATTTTGTTGGTGTTCCTTAGGTCATACCTGTGCTCTGTCATTCTCTGATTCCTAGCTATCACAGAGTGAACCTTTTGCACTCGCTCCACTTGACATGATGTTCTTTCTGCACAAGCTCCTGGGACTAAGTAATAGTCCTGAGACTGAGACTATAGTCTCAACCTTCTGAGCCGTATGCCAAAGTTAGTCTTCCCTCTGTAGGCCTGTTACTGTTGGGCATTTGGTCACAGTGTGATAAAAGTGACTAATACAGGTGTCTTGCTGTACTGTCTTCCAGACTTGCCAGCTGTACACGGAATGGAAGAAACAACCTCAAAGCAGACAGTCTTCGATGAAGAACCATCCCATGGATTGAAGTTAGAGGGGTTGGCAAGAGACCCTTGGCTGTCTTCATGTGGAGAAGTCCGTGACTGTAAGGAGCAGTTGGAGAAACAACAGGACAAGCAAGAGGAGGTGGCCTTTACCCAGGCTACAGCTGGTCCTCCTGATACTGTCTACAGGGGTCATGACCTTGACAGGAGTTGCCTGAGTACCAGCCGGCCTTCATTCCCCATGACATCCCTCAGAAATCATTTACATAAACAGGCATCACATGTTAAAAAGTCACATCAAGGTGATGTCGTTGCAAACAGTCACCAAAAGATCAGTGACAACGTGGATCTCCTTGACGATGACAAAGCTGGGAAAGTTCCACAGAGCTTTCACCCCACTCCGTTTATAAGAACCCCCCAAGGAGATAAAGCCTATGAATTTAACGGTCGTGTCCAACCTTTTAGCCAAGGTGTGCCCCTAAATCTAAACCAAAAGGTTCATTTGGAAGGTAAAACCTTTGGTTTTAAAGGGCGCGGGCAAGTTTTGAACCATAACATAGCTCTCAATGAGCAACAGACGCTTCTTGTTAAAGAGGGCCAGTATAAATGTAGTAAAAGCGCCCCAAGTCCGTCTCTTCCTCAAAACATGAGAAACTACTCTGAGGAGAAACGCTTTGAATGTAAGTACTGTGGCAAGTCCTTCAGCTGGAGCTCGCATCTCATTGCACACCAAAGAACCCACACGGGGGAAAAGCCGTACAAATGCAACCTGTGTGGGAAATTCTTCACCCGGAGCTCACACGTCGTTTCTCATCAGAGGATTCATACTGGAGAGAAACCGTACCGGTGCAATCTGTGCGGGAAGTCCTTTACCCAGAGGTACGTTCTTGTGGTGCATCAAAGAACTCACACTGGCGAGCGCCCTTATGAATGCACCCAGTGTGGGAAGTCGTTCCGCCAGAGCTACAAACTCATCGCACATCAAAGAACCCACACGGGAGAGAAGCCATACGAGTGCACCCAGTGTGGGAAGTCGTTCATCCAGAGCTACAAACTCATCGCACATCAGAAAATTCATTCTGGAGAAAAGCCTTACGAGTGCAGTCACTGTGGCAAGTCCTTCAGTCAGAGCTATAAGCTGGTCGCCCATCAGAGGACTCACACAGGAGAGAAACCCTTCGAGTGCAATTACTGTGGGAAGTCGTTCAGCTGGAGCTCCCAGCTGGTGTCTCATCAAAGAACCCACACGGGAGAGAAGCCTTACGAGTGTAACGAGTGTGGCAAGTCCTTCAACCGTAGCTCACACCTTGTCATGCACCAGAGGACTCACACTGGAGAGAAGCCCTATCAGTGCAAGCAGTGCGGGAAGTCCTTCAGTCAGAGCTACGTCCTGGTCGTCCATCAGAGGACGCACACGGGGGAGAAGCCCTACGAGTGCGCCCAGTGTGGGAAGACGTTCAGACAGAGCTCCTGCTTTACTCAGCATCAGAGGACTCACACCGGAGAGAAGCCCTACGAGTGTAATCAGTGTGGGAAGACGTTCAGCCTAAGTGCCCGGCTTATCGTCCACCAACGAACGCACACTGGGGAAAAGCCCTACAAATGCAGCCAGTGTGGGAAAGCCTTTATCAGCAGTTCGAAGCGCAGTAGGCACCAGGCTACTCACAGTGAGGAGACCTGTAAGTCCTAACCAGAGTCCAGGAGTCCTCAGCAAGGACTCCTGTCAGTCCAGTCCTCTCAAGTTAGGTCTGAAGGAATGCACTTGGCGGGAGTGACGGTGTGAGAAGAGTGCACACAGACCCTTTCCTTTCCCCTGTGTTGGTGACAGGAGTAAGGCCTTCAGTCTGACAGATGAGGATATGAGGCCCCTGGAGAAGAAAAGCCCTTACATGCCAGCAGGGGTGATCCGAGAAGGCCACCTGCTGACTGGCAGAAGTCGTTTCCCAAAGCACTGTGTGTACAGAGAAGGCAGAAGCTAGACTTAGAAAAACTGAATGTTAGATCAAATACTGCAAGCTTAGTGCAGAAGCCCTCTGGTTTGTGAGTTCTGGCCTGGTCCTTGAGAGCACAGCTTCTCTGTTGCAAAGCTGACACTCTGTAAATTTAGTTTAGGAGGAACGTGTTCGAAAATGCTCTTACTTAGGAAAGTAACTGCTGGCCACCAGCTTTGCTCTCCTGCTTCTGGCTCTTCATGGTACTGGGTGGCTGAGCCCCGACCTCCCACCACAGCTCCCCATGGTGAGTCTTTGTACCTATTTACTTCAGGCAGACGAGCCATTCGATCCCTCATTTCTGCAGGCTTAACCAGTCAGCTTCCAGTCATAGCCAAACGTAAGCTTGTTTGGAGTACCCTACTGCTCTTCAAAGGAGCGCCTTTTCTAGCTCAAAGCTTTGTTTGCCCTTCTGCTGTCCTCACTAGTCATTCCGTGCCGTCAAGAGACAACATAGGAGCCACTGCCTCAGAGTGACAGGTGGCCATTGAGTTGTCAGGGCCCTAGTCCCCTAAATCAAGCTCATCTTAGCCACAGAACGGACTCCCTTGCCCTCAAAGCCCTCCACAGTATTGCTGTGGATGCTGGCCATGAGCTACATGTTTCAGGAAATCCACAAGCAGGGTTAAGCTTGGACCAGCGTGGAGGGAAGCCCGTGCTAAATGCCCATCACTAGTGAGGCTGGATCAAGAGAATTGTTCAAAGCCAGCTTGTACTTCATAGCAAGACTGTCTTGAAAGAACCAACAAGCTCGTCCCATGTGTACTCCGGCATACATACTAAGTGTTGGTTCTTTTCCCTGAAGAAAGAAAGCACTCAGACCCGAATCTCAGAGAACCTAAATCTAAAACCAATGGCCTTTCCTAAAAAAGACTTAAGTGAACCGTTGACTGGTGGACGTGCTGTGGTGACTTAGACCTTCTACTGGATCATGGTATTCGACCGTGTCCGTCTGCGTAGTTGCCTGACTGGTAGTTTGTTACCCGTTTTGTACACTTCTATTACAAGTGCAGATTTTCTACAATTAAGGTAAATGACCAATTGAAATGAAACACATGTCAAGAGTATAGAGACTCTGTGGAACCTCCTTGAGAAAATGTTTATGTAGAGCCCGCAGTTGAAAAGGGATAATAGTCTATTTATTGATACTGTCGTTTACGTTGTTACCTCTCGGAGATGCATGATGCGCTATAACATGGTACAAGGAATAAAAATCTATCAGAAGCAAAAAAAGAAACAGATGTCCCATTTGTTCGAGTTTTTAAAGAATGGCCAACTAGATGCCCCGTGGGGCTCAGTGGTTTCCACTAAGCTCAGCCTGGACTGGTCACTCCCATGGGCTTAGAGTCTATGGGATCCCGAAAGTGACAGTGGTTCATTAGCAAAGAGAACTTCCCTCAGAAAGTGTTTGAGGCCTGGGGTTTTGTGGACAACACAGAGAGGAAGTGGCTCCTTCACTTCCAAAGCAATGTGCTCCCGGTGCTGCTCCCCTCCCCTCCCATGGTATCCTGCCCTCAGGTATTCTCTGCCTTCCAACTGTTAGGATTAAGAGCCAGAGCTACCACACCTGGCCTAATTCTTTAAAGGTGTACTTAGCCTACGTGTATAACTTTTTTACTCATGGGTATGTTTGCATCATGCGTGTGCCTGGTACCCATGTAAGTCAGAAGAGAGTATCACATATCCTGTGACTGGCGTTACAGATCATCGTGGTCCTCCTTGTTTGGGTTGGGAATTGTATCCAGGTCCTCTGCAAGAGCAAGCGTGCCTAAGTAGACCAGGTTCTGAGATCTATCTTCTGCTTCCTGAGTGCTGGGATTAAAGGTATGGACAACTACCACCCAGCTAGAAAGGTCACTCTTAAAAGGAGACTGAAAATTGAGGTGAAGGACCAGGGAAGAGTTCCTTTGAAACAATTTCAAAACCTTGTAATCACAGTTCTGATCTGTAATTTTTCTGGCTTTACATTAATTTGTATGAACATGGTTCCTGCAAGACATAGCCTGTCTAGTGAGAACTGTGCACTGTAACTTAGTCGTGAATTCCCCGAAGTAGGGAAAAGAAGCAGAAAGTACTACCTGCTAATGGTAGGAGATGATTCTAGAGCAGTGGTTCTCAACCTGTGCGTTGTGACCCCCTTCAGGGGAAGGGAGTTATCTATGACCCTTGGAAAACATGTTCATGATTTCTAACAGCAAAGTTATAAAGTAGCAATGAAAATGGTTTTATAGTTGGGTATAGTACAACCAATTTAAACTTACCCCCGTTGAGCTTACAAATGAATGAAACTCAGACAATGCTTATTTTATTTGACTTTGACAGTTACTGGGAGTGGGGGTAAGGGGGAGGTAACCCCTAATCTACTTTTCTAACTGCTGGCCTGGCTACCTCCCCAGCACTGTACCCCAAAGACTTGCTCTTTCTGCTGGCCAGGTGCTCATGTTCCATCTCCTTTCCTTCGCACCCCCATCCCCATCTCCCACCCGTGTCCTCTTTTTTTTTCTCTGTAACCTCCAACCAGGTAACTGAAAATCCACCTGCCTCTAATCCCTTCAGTCACTGGCTGTACCCTTTCCACTTAACCAATAGTTTTAAATTAAGAAACAAGATTTGCACAACAAAAGCAGGTAAGTGTGCGGATTTGCTCATAGGCAGCCAGACCTTCAGGTACAGAATTCAGCATTACAGTACATAGCAACAGACCACACCTCAACAGAAAAAGATGAGGGACTGTATTAATCGGTCTCAGCGTTAGAAAGATTGAGGACCACTGCTTTAGAGAGTCCTCTGACAGAATTAAGTCAGAGGATGTAGTGTATCTGGCATGAGAGACATTCTGAGCTGGGCCTCGTCCAAAAGCAGCATCCGTCTGAACTCAGATAAGAAAACAGCAAAGGTTCTCCACACTTTGGCTTTATTGAAGGCTTGAAAGTCTAGGAGACAATGAACTCTTTGTTGTCTACCCCCCCCTGAGTTATAGATGACAACCAATGTTAGAAAGAAGTACTGATGTTGGGTTGGTTGGTTGGTTTGTTGGTTATTTTTGGATTTTAAAATCTGTAGTCCATGGGTGGTCTGGAACTCACCCTGTCAACCAAGTTGGATTTGAACTCACAGAGGTCTGCTTGTCTTGACCTTCCAAGTGCTGGGCTTAAAGGCGTGTGTGCCCTAACACCTGCTTTTATGTGTGGATTTCAGTAGGCTTTGAAGGAATCATGCTGGTATAAATTAATATGAAGGCAAAATGGCTACAAGTTAGACCTCTGAAGCTTTCAAGGTTTGATTGAGCAAAGGAAATTCTTTAGTAAAAGAATTTAGTAAAAGAATGCTGAAAATGTCTGTTTGGCAGTGGGATTGATGAACGTTTAAAGACCTTTTTGAAGAATTTTAGTGACCATGGGTGTGTGTCCATGTGTATCTCTTTTTTGGGTCCTTGGTCTTGTTAAATAGATGAATAACCCATATGCCTTGCCACACCTCCTGGGTAGTGGTTGATGGGTCCCAAGAGTTATACTGTAAAATAGATTACTAATTAAACAGATGGTTGAATAATTTCTTTTCTTTTTTTTTTTTTTTTTGTTTTTCGAGACATGGTTTCTCTGTATAGCCTGGGCTGTCCTGGAACTCACACTGTAGACCAGGCTGGCCTCGAACTCAGAAATCCACCTGCCTCTGCCTCCCAAGTGCTGGGATTAAAGGCGTGCGCCACCACCGCCCGGCCTGGTTGAATAATTTCCATCATTTGCTAAATAACTTTATTTTGGACTGGTAAGATGACTCAGCAGCTAAGGATGTTTCCTCTAGTCCTGACCGTTTGATTTGATCCCCATGACCCACATGTTGGAAGAGAACTCCAACTTGCCCTATGGCTTCCACACACTTGCACACTCATCCGCACACTACTTTTGTAGAGGATCCTGCACCCACGCCAATTGGCCAACAGCAGTTTGTAAAAAGTCAGGTTTGGGGGGAGGGAGGCGGGGAACAGACGCCCTCTTCTGGCTTTCTTGGGCACAACACTCACACGGAGCATTTACATGTACTCAAGTGCGTGCACGTGCACACACACACACCACACTAAATAAGTATTTAAAATTATTAATTCGGTTTATTTGTACTTGATTTAGCTCTCTGTATCCCTGCCTCCGTGCTTCTTATACGATAACTTCTTGGACTGGGTGGGGGTTAGCTATGTTTGAGTTTGCCCTCGTGTCACGTTTGAAAAGCTTTTCTTTTCCAAGATTACAACGTGGGTGGAGGTAGGGAAGCTGAAGGTGACTAGCAATCAGGAGAATTAATCAGCCCAAGAAAGCCCAAGCTCAGGACTATGCAAATGATCTCGAAGGGAAGTCCACTAGGGGTAAGGACTGCCTTGCAGATCCTGGGAACTGTAGCCTAGAAGGCCCATGCAGTCCCTGACGCGTTCTAGAAAAGCGCCGTTTAATACAGTCTTCCACAGAAATCAGGGAAAGCTTTGTGGTTGGAAGATTTTTGGCTTCGGGTACGCTAAGGACACCGTTCTGGACTTTCTAAGTGAGACTCAATCCAATCTCTGTACTCCATGGCACTTCCGCTCGGCGAAGACGAGAAAGGACCCTGAGAATTCTGGGAAATGTAGTTCATGACCCTCCCATCCCCCGGATAATAGGATAACTTCCGCCGCAGGAGACTGAGGCCGCCCTACTCGGGACGGCAAACGTGGAAATGTAATTTGGGAGTGTGCAAGAATAACTTCCTCTGCGTGAGACTATGTATCCTCCCTTCTCCCTGCAGGAATTCTGGAAAATGTAGTCCCGGCTGCCTTTGCGGGAAGCGTCACTTCCGCCCCAGGTGTGCGAGGCCTGGTCCTGTTCCTTTCAGAAAGGTGAGCCCTCCCCTTTGCTGACCCCTCCCGAGTCTGCGCGATCCTTTTCGGGTTGCCTTGGGCGATAGCCACCAGGCGTGTGTCCTGGGTAAGGAAATCTGCCTCAGAAAGGCAGAAAGCGACCTGACTTTGGAGGAGCCTGCCTGAGTGTGCTGCGATTGCGCACACTGACTCAGGCCTGGCTAGGGGTTGACAGTCACCTGCCTGGAGGGTCTCCTGGGCGCTGTGCATCCCCAGCGCCTCCCTAGCCCCACTCAGCGATGCATGCCATCTCTCAGCAGTAGGGTTCAGACTCTCCATCTCTGCCTCCATTTCTTCCTAAACGCCTTGGTACCTATCCAAGAGTGATCTAGAGTTTCCTGTAAGGCTCAAAACAGCTGACGCATGGTAGGAGATGGGACATTTGCTATCAGTGCTTTTCTCATTTCAGAAAAGCAGGAAGCTTTAGTGACCCACGGATGGTCTCAGAGCTCCGACCCAGCCTGTCCCCATTATCAAAAGCCTTAACGACTTGTTTTGGTTTTGTTGGGACAATTGTTCCCAGCGGTTGTGTACAATACCCCCTATGTCTTATGGGGGTCGGGTAGGGGTGTTTGTTGAAGTCCGGTTTCCCCCGGCGTCTTGTCTTCTTAATCCCTTATTTGGAAAGTGCTGCAGGGGAACGAGGCGTCAGAGAACGTGGTGGTGGTGCAGTAGTTTGAATGAGAAATGACCCCGTAGGCTCTGGCCTTTGGATGCCAGGTCCACAGTTTAGAGGGCAGGGTGCTGTTTCTGGAGGTTTAGGTGGTGTAGCTTTGCTGGAGGAAGTACGTCATGGGGACTTGGTCAGCCTCCGAGGAGTTTGCACACTCTGCCTTGTGCTTTGGGTTTCAGATGGCAGCTTTTAGCTTCATGCTTCTGTTGGCAAGGCTGGCATGCTGTCCCTAACATTATGGACCTGAAAGCCAAAATAAACGCTTTCTTCCACAAGATTCCATGGTGTTTTTATCACAACCACAGAAGAGTAACTAATACACATGGGTAAACGTTAGCATCCTTCTGTCAGTCCGTACCCTCGCTTCTGAGGAATGAAGTTCTCTTATTGGCGAATCCAGTTATGAAGCTACCTTAATATTTTTGAATAAATTCTGGAAGGGATGGAGAAATGCTTGGCCATAAGCAATAAGGATGTAATATAAAATTTAATACTAAATACTGTAAGAGTTTTATAGAAATTAATAAATATAACTCTTATAAGAGCTTTATTGGATGTGGAGTCATTATTTAATTTACTTATTTTTAGCACATCTATTTAAGGAAAAAGTAAAATTTGGTTTTTTAAAACATAGGTTAAAATTTTACTGAATGTACCAAAAAATATATGATTGTT